ATCACAAAAAAGGCCTAACTATCTAACTACCGCCCCTTGATATTCACTGGTGTTACCATCACTGAAACCCCCATTATACCACCCTGGTGTTACCATTGACAAGAAACTCAATTGGACACGTCACATAAACACAATGGCCACAAGACCAGGTCAGAGGTTAGGAATACCGCGGCAAGTAACTCACCTCCTGACTCCCCAGATCCTGTCCACCATCTACCAGGCACAAGTCAGAAGTGCAATGGAATCTTCTCCACTTACCAAGAAGACTGCAGCTCCACCAACACTTAAGAAGGTTGACGCCATCCAAGATAAAGCAGTTTGCTTGATTGGAACAATATCCACAAACATCTACTCCCTCCACTACCAACACTCACTGGGGACAATGTGTACTATGTATAAGATATACTGCAGAAATTTGCCAAAGATCCTCATAAATCACCTTACAAACCCAGAACTGCTTCCATCCAGAAGGACAAGGCAGCAGATATATGGGAACACTACCACCTGCAAATTCCCCTACAAACCATCCTGACCATTCCTTCACTGCTGCTGGGTCAAAATTCTGGAAGTCCCTCCCCAACAACATTGTGGGTCTACCTAAAGCACATGGGCTGCGGTGGTTCATGAAGACAACTCGCCACCACCTTCCCAAGGGCAATAGGGGCAGGCAATAAATGTTGACCTGACAGCAACATCCAAGCTCCATGACTGAACTTCAAAAAAAGCCATACAGGGTTTTTGGTGAGGCTACATCTAGAGTACTATATACAGTATTAGTCATGTTACTTAAGCGAGGACATTAATGTATTGGATGAAATTTAGAGTGGGTTTACAGGTATAATATCCGGAAGTGGTGGGTTATCTTATCAGGAATGGTTGGACAGGCTAGGCTTCTAAACGGACTTGAGAAGAGCAAGAGGTTGTGTGGTTGAAACATGTAAGATCCTGAAGGGTCCTGACAGAGTTCATGTGGATATCCCCTTTCTTGGGAGAATCTAGAACTAGACAACACTGTTTAAGAATATGGTGTTGCCTATTTCAGTCAGAGATAAAGAGAGATGTTTTCTCATGGAAGGGTTATGAGTCTTAGGAACTTTGTGATACTGATACAGCCAGAAAAGAGATGGGGCTTAGATTCTAGAGGAAGGATAGAAGGGGAGGCAGGAGAGGAAGGGAGTGACATTTTTGATTATGGGAAACATCACAGCAGTACTTAGAGATGATATTCCTAGGGGATTGTCTAGTGAGGCTACATGGATGGAACTAAGAAATAAGAAGGGATTGTACTATCGGCCCCCCAATAGTCAGCAGGAAATTGTACAGCAAATATGTAGGGAGATTGAAGATTGCTATAAAAATAACAGGGCTGTAATAGTCGGGGATTTTAACTTTCCAAACATACACTGGGACTGCTATAGTGTTAAGGGCTTGAATGAGGAGGAATTTGTTAAGTGTGTTCAAGAAAACCTTTTCAATGAATACGTAGATGGCCCTACTAGAGAAGGGACAAAACTGGACTTCCTCTTGGGAAATGAGGCAAGGCAAGTGGCTGAGGTGTTAGTGTGGGAGCACTTTGGAAACAGTGAGCAGAATTTTATTAATTTTAAAATAGTTACGAAAAGGATATGTATGATGCACAAGTTAAAGTTCTAAATTGAGGCAAGGCTAATTTTGATGGTTTTAGAAACTTTCAAAATTTGATTTGGGGAGGCTGTTTGCAGGTAAAGGGATATCTGACAAGGGGAAGGCTTTCAAAAGCGAGATAACAAGAGTTCAGGGATAGCATGTTCCTGTTAATATGAAGTACAAGGCTGGCAGGAGTACAGAACACTGGATACCTCGAGACATTGAAGCTCTGGAGATCAAAGCTAGGAACTAAATATTCAGGGTTAGGTAACTTTTCAAATGGACAGCAGGAAAAACAGTTAGAGAGATAGCATTGTTATCACAAGATAGAATAAATATGATAATAAGAAATGATCTTGGATCAGAAGATGTAGAATCCATGCAGGTGGAGGTAAAAAGTAAGAAGTGAAAGAAGCCTGGTAGGATTAGTCTGTAGGTCCCCTACACATGGGACACATGACAAATCAGAGGATAATGAGGGCATGTAAAAAAAGGCAGGACATTAACCATGGACGATTTTAATGTTCATATAGGCTGGAATGATTAGATTGGAAAGGATAGTCACAAGGAAGAATTAATCTCTTGTATTTGGGACACGTCCCTACAATATTTTGTGTATCCAACCACGGGTTAGGCTATTTTGGATCTGGTAATGTATAATGAGGCAGATTTAGTGAATTATGTCGGAGTAAAAGATCCCCTAAGAAACCGTGATATCATAACATGGTAGAATTTATCATTCAGCTTTAGAGGGAGAAACATAGGTCAGAAACTCTGTCTTTAAATAAAGATAATAACAAAGAATAAGGGTAGATCTAGCTGGAATGGACTCAGAAAGGTGTTTAGCAGCAAAGATGGTTGATGATCTGTTATTGGGAAAATGTTAGAGTATTATACAACATAGCACTAGGATGTAACAACAGAGCATTTAGAAATACATAATATGCTCAAGTAGTGTCAGTATGGCTTCACAAAGAGGAAATCATGTCTAACAAATTGGTTAGAATTACTTGAGATGTTAACAGGCAGCATGGATAAAGGGAAAGTAGTGGATGTATTATACTTGGACTTTCATATATTAGACTACTTAATAAGATAAGAGCCCATGTTGTTGAAGGGAATATATTAGCATGGATAGAGAATTGGATAGCTAATAAAAGACAGAGAGTTGGGATAATGGGGGGGTGCATTTTCAGGGTGGCAATCTGTAATTAGTGGAGTGTCTCATGGATTAGTGCTGCGGTGACAATTATTTACAACATATATATATATGTACTAATGACTGGATAAGGAAAGTGATGTACTATCGCCAGGTTTGCAGATATGTAAAGATAGGTGGAAAGATGACAGGGTGAGAGGACACAATGTGTCCTCAGAGGAATATAGACAGGCTAAGAAAAGGAACAAAAATTTTGCAGATGGAATATAATGTAGGAAACTGTGAAATTATGCACTTTGGCAGGAAGAATAGAAGAGCTGAATATTATTGAAATGCAGAAAGACATCAGAAAGCTAAATGGCATGGAAGGATTTAGGAGTCCTCATGCACAAATCACAAAAAGTTAGCATGCAAGTTCATCAGGAAATAGCCAAGTCAAATGGAATGTCAGCCTTTATTTCAAAGGGAATAGAGTATAAAAGTAGAGAGGTCTTGCTAAAACCATACAATGTACCAGCCGTGCCACAGCTAGAATTATTGAGATCAACTTTGAGCCCCTTATATTAGGAAAGATATTGGAGACAGTGCAGAGAGGTTTATTAGGTTGATCTTGGACTTGATGGGACTGTACTATAAGGAGTGTTAAATAGGTTGGACCTGCAATCATTAGAATTTAGAAAAGTGAGAGACGACCTTATTGAAATATATAAGAAACTTAGGGGTCTTGACAGGGTAGATACAGAATGATTGTTTCTCCTTGTGGAAGAGTGTTGGACCAGAAGGTGTCATCTCAGAATAACTTATTTAAGACAGAGATAAGGAAGAATTTCTTCAGTTAAAGGGTGGTGAATCTGAGGAATTCTTTACCACAGTGTTGAGATTGGCTGGGCTGTTGTGTACATTCAAGGCTGAGATTGATAGATTTTTAATCAATGAGGTAATCAAGGGTCTCTTTCATTCAGTCATGGGAAGTGGGCATCGCTGGCTGGTCAGCATTTATTACCCAACCCTAATTGCCCTAGAGAAGTTGGTAGTGAGTTGGGTTGTAGGGAAAAGGCGGAAATGTATAGTTGATGGTTATCAGACAATTCATGATTTCACTGATGGACCGAACAGACTCAATGAGCTGAGTGGTCTCCTTCTGATTCTATATTTTATAGTCTTATGGTCCAACTCTCTTCCTGAAAATGCAGTGGGAGTGGAGTATTTAAATGTCTTTCAGGCAGAGGTAGGTAGATTCTTGATAAAAAGAGCATGAAAGTTCTTGTGCCTAGGTTGCAATGTGGAATAATCAAATCAGTCATGAACTGATTTAATGGCAGAGCAGACCCATGGAGCTCAGAGGCGTCCCCCTGCTACTGATTCATATGTAACATTAGTGAGCAGGTAGAACTGAAATGACATTCACATCAGGAAACAGGTTTCAAGTTGCTTTCTTCCAGATTTTACTGAAGTGACACTGATGTGGGGAGCCAACACATTCCCAGGAGGTAATTGGCATGATAAATATGCTAATAAGGATGCAATCTTCATATCTAATCTGTTTTGTTGGTATCACTGGAGTAGGTCAAGTTTCCCAGGCCTTAGGGAAATCAGGAAGTACAGGAACACAAGATCAACCTTTGAAAAATTCTTTGTGGTCTAGGAGGAACTGGAATGTTCCCTCCCAGTCCTCAAGCTACTTTATCATTAAATCTGATCAATGATAACAGAGGTTTTTGGATTTCCAACACACCTCTCCACTCCCTAACCTCCAGTGTATTTCTGTTCAAATTTCCCCCAAAATATCAGTTGAAGTGCAACACTTGACATGAAAGGGATTATTTACTTATATGTCTTTGTACCAGCAACCGAAGCATCTGTTTTTACACCTTGAACTGTTACAATCTGAAATATATTGCTTGCATGTGTGTGGAAGCTTTTCAGAATGGAATTTGATTTCTCAAAAAAACTATTTACAAGACTCTGGGGAAAAGAGAAGTGTTCAACTAATCAGAATCAATCTCTTGTATGTGGTGTAATTGATTAATTATAACTTTAAATGATGGATCACTCCATACACACAGAAACAATTTTCACACGCTCTATAAGCTACAGAATAAAAATGGACATGAGTAGGAAGCAGAAGGGAGAAAGGAGGTTACAGAATTGACTGATTCTTAGTCAAAAGAGAGACAATTCAGTCAAAAGAAATACTAGGATATTAAATACTCACAGAACATGTTGTATTGCTGAAGCAGTTTTTGTGGTTTTACCCAACTGAGGCATTTTTCTTACAATTGGGAAAATTCCAGAACTTATTTCCTGGCTGTCATTCAGATCAAATATTGTCTTAATTTCTGTACCATACTGGACCAATGCAAATTCACACTGTCAAAAAAAATGAAATAATTTATATGAACACCTAAAATTGACGTCTAATTTTTTGGAAGTAGTTACAATATTACATATCATTTTAGATTATTATAATTTATATAAAACCAAAAAACTTGGAACCCTGAAATAAAAGCAGAAAATGTTGAAAATCCCCAAAATGTCAAGCGGCCACTGTGGATAGGGAAATAGAGTTAGCTATCAAACCTTTCCTGGCCCTGGGATAGTGGATTTGGGGGATAGAGATAGTGAGGAGAATGGTTGGGAATGTTTAACAAAATAGGGTCAGGGCAGTCACCTGACACAGACCTATCACGGGTTGATGTAGATTCTTTGCCTGTTAAATGGAAGTAGGCAGCAGTTTAAACAACGAAAGGCCATACCAGCAATTCTCCTGGCTACAGGCATTTTGTAAGTGGTGGAGTAGCTTATCCAATGAATATGCAGGTTCCAGTTTTACTGAGGTGACCTCCCTGCAACATTCCAAGAGGAAATGGAGCTGGAGATTTCTTGCCCCAAAGAGGACAAGTCCCCAGTGAGCATCCAGAGGAGCCCCCATGTTTGGATTCTCTGATTTTAAGATATTTTCCTGACCTCCCTTCAAAAGTGAGGTATCTTCTCCGTACCTGAGGGTCCTCAGAGCAGCACCCAACTGACCCATGGGGTTGGTTAGGTTTCAGAATTGCGACGTTTCAGAATGGACCAGCAACTGCTACATTCCGCCTCCCATCTTTAATTGGACACCAGTGCTGAATCATTACCTATAGCTGCTACCTGGTCAATGGTGACTCCCAGGACGTTGACGGTGAGAGATTTAGTGATGATAATGCCGCTGAATGTCCAGGGAAGGTGACTAGCTTCACGGTTTTTGAGGTCATCATTGCCTGGAACATGTGTGTTACTTGCCACTTATCAGACCAAGTTGAACGACATGTTGTGCGCCATGCAGGAAGGAATTGTTTTATTATCTGAGGAGTTACAATGAAACTGAATATAATGCAAACATCTTCCCTTCTGATCTTATTATGGAGCAAAGGACACTGATGAAGCAGCTGAGGATGTTTTGGCATAGGACACTACCCTATGATAAGGGCTCCTGTGCATAGTGAGTCAGAAGACTCGGATTAATGTCTCAGCTGTTACAGCGATATATGTCATGACTTTGTGAACAGGTTAACTAAAACTACTTACTCTGAGGAATATCTGAAGTGATGATCAGGGTCTGAGAATAATTGGCCCTCAATAACCAGTTTCATATGTGTTAGGTATGACTCTAACTAGTGGATAAATTCATTTAATTCCTATTGACTTTTTGCTGGTCTCCTTGATGCCATACTTGTCAAATACAGCCTTGATCTCAAAGGCAGTCATTCTCACCACACCTCTGGAATTCAGCTCTATTGTTCATATTTGGAGCTGAATGATCTTGGCAGAATTCAAGTGGAATAATAGAGACATAGAATCATAGAGTTATACAGCATAGAAACAGACCTTTCAGTCCAAATCATCCATGTCGACAAGATATCCTAAATTAATCCAGTCCCATTTGCCAGCATTTGGCCCTTATTCCTCTGAACCCTTCCTTTTCATATACCCATCCAGATGCCTTTTCAATGTTGTCATTTTACCAGCCTCCACCACTTCCTCTGGCAGTTCATTCCAGACACACACCAGCCTCTGCATAAAAAAGTTGTTTCTGCTTTAAATCTTTCCCTTCTCACCATAAACCTATGCCCTCTAGTTTTGGCCTCCCCTACCCTGGGGAAAAGACCTTGGCTATTCATCCTATCCATGCCCCTCATGGATTTACACACCTTAATAAGGTCACCCTTCACCCTCTGACACTCCAGGGAAAATAGCCCCAGCCTATTTAGCCTCTCCTCACAGCTCAAACCCTCCAACAGGGTAGTTGTTATGGGGGACTTTAACATTCCAAATATTGACTGGAAACGCTACAGTTCGAGTACTTCAGATGGGTCAG